GGGGGGGGGGGGGGGGGGAAGAAAGGAAAAAAGGGCTACGAGAATGAGAGTGTAAATAAAGCATGGTGATTAATGAGAGGAAAGGAGAATGAATGTGAATAAGAATGCGCTGTTAACATTAATTTTTGTTTAGAATCTTTATGTTCCAGTGTAGTTCTGTGGAATTTAAAAAAAAAATCAGTCAATCAATTAACCTTTTTTTTTCTTTTTCGCAGTCTTTGTTATCGGCAATGACTTGATGTGCTCTCCAAAAGTTTGTAACCAGCCAACAAGTAAGTTAGTTTCGTTAGTTTTCTTGGTCATCGCAAACGGTGCCCATGGCTTTTATATTGTGAATCGGATTTGACATCATAGTCGCCATTTTGGAGGAATTCATAAACAATATGTAGTTTATTTGGTCATCCAACATGGCGGCTACATCTAGTAATTTCCTACGAATCCAAAGAACAAAATATTTAAGGTCTTTTTTAATGAATAATGCCAGAAAATTCGTCGTAAAAACCTAGCCAGCTAAACAAGTAATTTATTTATTTTTCGTTTATATTTTGGTTTGAAAACTTTTTTTGAAATTTTCTTTTTTTCTCCAGCCACCACAGCGCCCCCAACCACACGACCAACCAAACCAGCACCACCAATGCTTCCCCCGACCCTACCCTACAAAGTAGATTGTCATCTGGATGCTAATAATCGATCGCCTATAGATATCGTGTTCCTGATCGATGGATCCGAAGCTATTGACGAAATGGATTTCCGTAGCCTAATAGAAATTACTAAAATAACTATCAATCAGTTTCCGATCTCTAAAGATGGCGTTCATGTTGCTCTAGTCATTTATGGCTCGATAACGAAAATAGTTGTTAACCTTGATCAGCTCTACGATCTTAAAAGTATCGAAACAGCGGTTAGAGATTTAAGGCCTATAGGCGGCGCGCCGGCCATTGGGCAAGCTTTACAAACAGTTAAAGATTCGGTATTCGCGGCCAAGTCTCGCGTAGATGTTCCTAAGAGGTTAGTCCATATGATGTGTGGTAAGACAATTGATGATGTGGTCAAGCCTGCGAGGGAGTTACACGCTATGGGTGTGTTGGTGATTACTGCTGGGACGTGCCTGGCTGTTAGTAAGCCAGAGTTATGTGTGATAGGCAGTCCACCTACGTGTGAGAATGCATTGATTATGAAGTCTATGAATCCAGTTATGGCACCGGCGTGTGAGTTTGCTGAAAAGATACTAAAAGGTAAAACGCTGGCTTATCTTTTTATGTGATTTCAATAACTTTATAATCAATGATTTTGAGCGGAAGAAAATGCATTTTGATATTTGGAATGACATCTTCATTGCAGGTGTTCCTCCCAAGAGAATCCCCACGAATCCTACAATAGGTTGGTTGAATAAAAAGTGGCCTTGTTGTTAAAGTGTCTGGATCTGTCCATCCATCAAATGTCATTCATTCTACTCATATATCCATCCATCCATCCATCCAT